CTACTCGATACAAAAATGGGCCTTACTCCTGAACCGACTGCTTCTCCATTTTTCGCGCAGCGGATCGGCGAAAGGGGCGGCGGAAGAAAGAGATTTCATTCTCGTCAGCGGGGGCGGAGCGCGGCAACGATAGTTCGAACGGCGGAGTAATAACGTCGATAAGAGGGCGGCCCATTGAAACTCCGATGAGACCTCTCCTCGAGAAGCCGCGTACCATTGAAAAATTGCAATTTCAGGGCTGGCCAGGACCCGGTCGAGCAGGATTTAATCGGATGCGTGTATCGGACGCGAGCCGCTCGTCGAATCATTTCTCTCCTCGAAATTAAAATATCGGATTTCGTACGTGTTCCCTGGTGCATGGAAACGGATGGTATCGCGCCGGCAATATTTCCTTCCGCCTCGCCGCCAATCTGCCCCCTCCCCGATATCCCTGGACTAGTTATCCCTAGCCCCGGTCCGCTCCGGCTGGCGACGTTCAGGAAAATGCCACGGCCGGAACGATAAACGCGGCCGGCCAGCCGCGAAATCGGATCGCCGATAACCGACTGCCGGGGAATCTCTTTTCGGAGCCGACACAGCGAAGATATTTAGGTCCTGATTTTCAGGCAGCCACCCTAGAGGCTATGCAACCCCCTTTGCGCCGATGCATCAGAACATCGAAGAACATACGAAATTTCTATGACGCTCTTCAGAGCAAAGATTAGCCTATGGTCCGACCTACTCGCCAAGTAGAATAACCTTACAAGAGTCAGACAAATATTCCGTTCCCAAGGTAGATCGAATCACGAGGTACGAAAGGTTCCAAGATACCCGAACGTTGCGTCGATAAACCTTCTGGTCCAATGGGACCCTAACGAGGACGTGTTCCCGCGTTATCTCAGCCGCGCGTTGAATCTACAATCGGTCCCAACTCTCGTCGCGATTTCAAACAGCTCTAATCGTCGCGAGTCTAACGCTCGAAGCCTATCTCTGTTCAACCTGCTGAAAGATTCAAGCTCCGGCAAACCGGTAAATCTATGGATCATCTCTAAAAT